TTAATTTTTTGTTAGGCCTACACCGACATAAGATGGGTGATATTGTACAAGTGATTGGATTTTACAATAAAGCACCACAGTTTAAATTTGCCCGTAGAGGAAATATGGGTCTAAGTGTTCATATGGAGATGACTACGGATCAAGATATTTTAAATGCAGTGACACATGCAAAGATGGTTCTTGAATCATCAAATCTGATGTTGATAGATTTCACAAGCTATGCTGATATTTCTACCACTCCAGGTCACTATGTTCTTTACTGGGAACTCAAAGGCAAATACAACAATGACATTGCTAAAATTGATAACAAGATTTTAGTAGAATGTTGTAACGTGGTGGAGAAATCCCTGAATAATTTTTACAAAGAAAATAGGAGAACCGGGTGGATTGAAGCTTTAGAGATAAGAGTGGTGCAACAAGGAACTTTTGATTCTCTCATGGAGTTTTTCATCACTCAAGGTGCTTCTTCAACTCAATACAAGACACCTATTTGCATGAAATCTACCGAGGCCTTAGCGATCTTAGAAGAAAAGGTCCGTGCTCGATTCTTTTCTGATAAGTCCCTTTCTTTGAACTTTTCATCTTAATGTTTTTATTTTGTATGCATTTGAAACAAAACTTCTAAAATAAGAGGAGACAAAACTCAATCTTTTCAATCTCATTTTTAATTGTATCTTTATCTAAGATATGTGATTTAGTTTGTTAAGTATGGCGTGTTCAGCCTAAGTTACAAAATAAAGTATGCATGGCTGTGTTATATTTTCTCTAATGCCACTTTCAAGGATTAAAGTCCTTGCAACCCACCTTTTAATTTGAGATATAAACTTTTTGCTCATGGAGAAAATTGAGACAATGTTAAGACAAAAACAAAATCAAGAAAATCATGAAAGTTGGCCCCAAGATCGTACAAAGAAAATGGAATGAGAGAATAGCAATCCGCTAGAGAAGCAGATAGTTACAAAAAGAGAGATTCGAGCAAGCAATATTCGGTACCAAAAGAAGCACAAGATGGATCATCAACTTATATGTAAATCGTGACATCAGAGTCTTGTTTATTTTTTAAAAAGGTTGGACACACATGAATATTGCGGAGATATCATTGCAACAAGAAGACTCGAAAGCTATTTCAGATTAAGTTAAAGGAGTAGCATCTCTAGTTGCAAAAAGAAAGAAAAGATTCTTGTAGTTGAAATCGTCGTGTCTGAAATTTTCTTTTGATACATAATTCAATCTCGATTTTTAGTAATATTGTACTACGTACGTAGATTCAACGAACTATGTTGTAAGTTGTCGTTATATAACTATGTTGGTGATATCTAAGCCCTTGTCATCTTAAGTTTTATCATTGGGTGGGAGAAACCATTAATTCAGCATTTATTCTTTGTATTTATAAACGTTGCTTAGTTTTAAATTTGGGAAAATTGCCAAATATGACTCAAAACTTGATTTGAAATGCAAAAGTAAACCCAAACTTGAATCAAATGCAAAAGTAACTTAAAAGGCTGTTGAAATTACAACCAACCCCTTGTGAACAAACAAAAAAAGAGTTTTTTTTGACGTTTTTAGCCCTCGCAAGTCGTCTGCCCAGACGACTTTAAACTAAGTCGTCCA